TTTTTTTTTTTTTTTTTTTCATATATGTAAGGAATGTTGAACTATATTTTTAGTCATGCGGCTAAAAAGTTATCATGAATATCATTTTAAAAAAGTATTGAAATATAATTTACAAAGAACGTGTTAAAATTATGAAATAAAAATTCTATTTTGGAAACAGAAAGATAGTGGGGAAAAAAATAAAGCTTGTGAAAAAAAATATTGAAACTACAATAGTGGGCCTAATACCAATGGGATTACAATAGCAATGCCCACAGAACCAGTAATGCCTTTATCCACGATGGACACGTGTTAATATGTCCACCATTTATGTGGCATTCACGAATTAGTGATATATTTTTTTGAAAATATTAACATCATCAATATGTGAATAACACGTAAATGGGGAACATGTTAACACGTGTCTATATTGGGTAGAGAAACATTTCCAACCACATAATTACTTGGAAAAGTGGCAGACACCAATAATGCGGTTTCATAAAATTTTGTTCTTCCTATTTTTAATTTTCCACTTTAAGAGATAAAAAGGAATATTTCAACAATCAGTTAAATAAATAAATAATAGTAGTAGCAGATAGTGGATAAGAGCGTCAATAGAAAATAAATAGGCCCACTTGATTATAGAAATCATATTTGAGGAAATTGCACTCCCTACTTTTGTTTCTTTAATATATTATAAATTTACAACCAATAGTTAAATATTTATGTAATTACCTAACTAAGCATAAAATATTGGTAATATACCTACAATTTTATTTTTGCAGTTATATCAGATAATTAAGGAAGTTGTTACGGGCAAATTAATCCTCAACATTAAAACCGCTGCACACGATTCATATTCTGCCGATGGTCTCTCTCTCTCTCTCTCTCTCTCTCTCTCTCTCATTTTTTTTCCTCTTCTTAAGCCCTTGTCATTCTCCGACTGGCTCGGATCTCGAGTCAAGAGAGGATGTATCGACTGGAGAAGCAATCGACAAATTTATGGTCGCCGGAAGACACAGATATAATTCTCCGACTGCGGCCAACTGATCTACCAGTTTAGCCTTTGTCATTCCAATCGATAACTTCCAGAGATCCACCAAGGCCCAAGAAAAACACCAAATCAGATGGGATCTTGGAAGAATACTTTTTTGGGATAAGCCTCCACAACCAAGAATCCACATAAAAAATGGGAACTCTGAAGAATCAATAGCCTCATAATCTTCATTCTTTTTTATTTTTTTTTTATTATTTTTATTTTTTTTTTCTCTTAGCTTGCGCAAGATCTAAAAACCCTCCTACACATAATCAAAATCCAATCTTTTCCCTTCTTTTCCTATAAATCTACAAAAGCCTTCAAATACTGCAATTTTTTTCTACTCAAATGATTTATATCAGATGCTCTGTTTTGTTGGGTCTGGGGCTTGTGTAATTCGATTTTTTTCAGTGTTTTTTTTAAACAAGTTGCCCTTTTTTTTTGTTTTTTGTTTTTTTTTTTCTGTAACCCGTGGCACAAGCCCATCGACAGTATATCTTGCGTGTATATGTAGTATATGTGAAGTGTATGTGCAGTATATGTTTTGGATGAAAAACTTCTCAGAAACATAATTGCTATATATATTTCTCGTATATAGAGTATATGTATAGTATATGTTTTGCATATTTAGAATATTTATTTTATATTAGGAATATACGTAATCTGTGTAGATAGAGTATATGTATAGTATATGTTTTGTATATTTAGAATTTTTTTTTATATAAGGAATATAAGTAATCTGTAATAATATGTTTTTTTTTTCATTTCAACATATGCTGAATATATACTAACATAAACGCAATATATATCGGCTGCGTGAATTACAGAATTCCAGTTGTGCACATATACTGAATATATACTAACATAAACTCAATATATACCACCTCAGAAACATAAACGGCTGCGTGAATTACAGAATTCCAGCTACCACATTTACTGAATATATACTAACATAAACCTAATATATACCACTTAAGAGCTCTATTAAATAATCTGCGTGAATTAAGGGGATAAATGTGAATTAAGGAGATAAATAGGATATGGTAACTTTAGGCATTAATGAAAATAAATAATGTCTTTTAGGTAGAGACATAATTATTTCTATTCGTATGGTAAAATTGCAATTAGTTTAAAATCAAGTAGCAGACATGAAAATTTCCCATCATATTTCACGTTGC